GCCTTTGGGGCCACCTTAGGTCACCTTTTGGTCAAGGTCAGGTCAAGGTCAGGTCAAGGTCAGGTCAAATTAGGTCAAATTTCAAAGTTAATATTTTTGCATAAAATGGGTATCGAATCGATGCAGCTCGTCACGGGGAGCTCAATGGTGGTCTTTGTTTTGCCGTACGTGGTCTAGAATCGCTAACAATGGAGTTCAAAAATTTGACGTCATCATTTTTGAACAGTTTTTTCGCTATAACTTGGCCAAAAAACGAGATATCGATCTGAAATTTGGTATGTATATAGAAGAGCGCAGGGACTATCACATATATTCCGTTTTTTCGAAATTCGGAAATTTTTTGATTTTTTTTAGTTTTTCTAAAAAAATCAATTTTTTGAATTTTTTGGGGTCAAAAACCCAAAATTTTGAAATCTGAGATAGCAGTTTCGTAGCGGCGTTTTTGTCTACTAGACCATATAAAGAACTTTGAAATTGCTTGGTAACTGTAGATTTGGTGAGCGTTTCAAGATTGCATGTTTTTTGCTCATTTTTGCACGAACATGACCTCAGTTTGACCTCAATAACTCCTGACCTAAGGTGACCTAAGACTTGAAATTTGGTGTGAAGGTGTCAAATTGATGCCTGGGAAGGTACTGAAAATTTGGCGGCGCTGCGCGCCGCCGTTTTCTTGCTATTCAGGAAAAACCACAGGGGGGGGCCAAAATGCCCCCCCCCCAACGGGGCGAGGGCTCGTCCTTCTTCGTTTTCCACCGTTAGGTAGGGCAGAGCGGGGCAACACTGAAACGCCTCACTAATGTTTCCTCAAAAAGTTGATATGGCAAATGATTGCACGCGCTCGACTTGTGCCGAAAATTTCACCCTCGCAGCCCGCACCGTTGCCGAGCAAGATCCCGCCAAAAGGAACTGACGCTATACGTATAGGAGAGAGTGGGGCAAAGCGGTCACCCATCGATTTAGCCCTGTACAGCTGGCGTCAGCTCCGATTTATGGTTGCCAATTATACCTACTTCTCTGCGCAGTCGTTCGAAAGAGTCACAGCGAGGTTTCCGGCCTATCGCCAGTGATCTGTGATGCGATACACGGAAAAGCATTTCTTGCTAGACTATACTTACTATATTTACGATTTTTAATTTTGTTTTATTTCATAACCGCTTAGAATTTTATTTAAGCGGTCTCGTTCATGCATTGTGGTTATCGTAGATGTCTTTTGACTTTTACCAATGTTAATGCTTTTCGCCCCACTAATAGCAGAGCTGGAATATTTTTGTCTGGCGGACTATATGCTCGGAGCAAAGTGGACGGGGCAAAGTGCATGGCCAGCTCCGAATTAGCCATAAGTTGTTTCCATCCGGACAACAAACCTCATTGATATTGAAATGCGTCGTCACGTTATTAGTGGTGTCAATCGGAACTTGAATCTTCGGAATTCCGATTTTGTCCAATGTCCAATTCGGAATTCGGTTGGATAATGACGGCAGGCGTTGGACAGCTTTGGACAATCACCTGCTACACCTCAGCATTTTTATAAAGCAATCGTGCTTAACACTGATTGGCGAATAGAAAGCTCAGCTTTTGAGATGATTAACACATTAAAGCTGGTAATGGACAATGGTACATTTAAAACAAATTAAATAGCAGTGTTGAGTGTAAACTATTGCGTAGTTTTCGGATATCTTTGGACAAATGACTGGCTTGGACATCTTTGGACGGACAATCGACGTAAGCATTGGAAATTGGACGGACATTGGACATACATTTTCTGAAACTGACACCACTACACGTTATGCATTCATCTCGGCCACTTTTCGGTTACATGAGCTACCAAATAATGCAACTAAATGTTTTCCCATGACAGCCCTTTCTATGTGTACCTACAGGCGGCGAGATGACAAATTCCGGCACATGACTATGTCCGTGAAGATAGCGTCAGCACTCAGCAACAGCAACGAATACAGCGTCGGATTCAGAATCGCTTCAATAACTGTCATCAGGTCAATTGGGGGACGGGGAACAAGAATATGACATTTATTTCTCAAAATGTGTGCAACGTATTCATTATCCACTGCGCCTCGTAACGCGCACACGCTCTTTTTTTTTCTTCGCTAGGGCAGGGCCTCCTATAAGGAATTTTCACTGGGGGGCCACAGAGGCTCAGAAGCCAAACCTAGGGTACCCCCAAATCCGGTGTTCTCATCGGATTTAGGCCACTTATTTTTTCGTCACAGCCCTGATGCCATGATTTTTATTTTTATTTTGAAAAAAAAGATAAAGAAATAGTGGGCCGCTTGACCCTATACCGGTGGATCCAGACCGGTACGGGCAGGGTGACATTTGGGGTAAATATCCCCCGCAGTGTCCGAAATCGAGGAATGCTTCCGGCTTTCCGAAAATGAAACAAAATGCCTTTATTAAAGAAGCAACCCTATTCCTGGCGGGGGGGGGCCTCAGGAGCCCCCCCCCTGAGGTTTTTTGGTTATATCTCCCAAACGCGTTGAGCTAGAAAGCTCAAATTTTCTGACTTTTCCTAAAAGGCTTCTACGCAACATGTCTGAAAATTTTGAGTTGATCTGACCTCAGGTCAGGTCACCAGAGGCGGTTTGGTGACGCTACCTCAGAAAAGTTTGCAATCACGCCAGAGCTAGAGTTTTTGACCGATCAATTTCTTCTCTTCAGGGTTTAGTTAGGGTACCAGTATGTGCAATTTGTATATCTCGGAATTTTGATATCGGTGACCTAAGGTCAGGTCAGTTTCGCGACCTCCCCATTATAAGTCAATGGGGGGAAAATCAACTCCCTGTTTTTACCACTAAAACGGGTCGGAATGGCCCCATATACCATACATGACTTCATATACGATCAACCTTCACTACCTTGAGGTCTGTTTTGCTGTTGGGCAGCTGTGAGGTCATGTGACGTCATCAAAGGTCACCAAAGGTTTTTGGCCAATAACTCCGTACAGGAACAAGATACAGACGCGTGGATGGTCTCATTGTGTTCAGCTCGTCAAGACGCATCGAATGATATACATGATGACCTCGAGGTCACGTGACCTGAGGTCAACCTTTGACCTTGACCTTTCGAGGTCAACATATATATCATTCGATGCGGATTGACGAGAGGATCACGATGATGCCCTTAGTTTGTTCCTATCTTGACTAATTCGAAAGTTATTCGAGAAAAACTCTCTCCATATCTAGTGCCGCCATTTTGACTTTTTCGACCCCTGTGACGTCATCTTTGACCTGACCTGAAAATGACCTTAGTAAAAATTGTAGATCTTGGCCGTGCGTATCCGATGCCGTTTACCGCTTGTCGCTATCTTGCTTCGTTCTCGAGATCTCAGGGGGGGGGGGGGCCGAATCGGCCCCCCCCCCCGCCAGTTTCTTGTCCCGGCGGAGCCCGCCAGGAATAGGGTTAAACGGCACAGCAGTGCGTAAGGAATCTAACCGACCGCAGAAAATGTGAGGGCTTAGGCATCGATATCCCAAACGCTGGAAACCAACAGCTACCTGCCTGAAAACAGCTCACCATCCTAAAAAGCTACTTGCCTGAAAATGACTCAAGAAACAGGCCACAGGTCAATGAGAATGAGGGTCAGGGAACAGGGTAATTACATTTTCAGGAAATGTGTGGAATTGAAGTAATCACGAGAATACCTACTAAAACTTTTGCCACGGTCGGCCAATTTTCATGCGAGTTATTCGCAAAAAAAGTAGGAGTGGGGTCTATCAACCCCTCAATAAGTGAGAAGGCTTATCGCTGCTGGTCCCAAACACTGGAAAAAAAAAAACTTTATATGGTGCTATAAAGCCCAGCCGCACTCTTATTTGACCGTAAAAAAATACTCTTCAAGAATAAACCCGTTTCCCGAAAAAAGAAAACATAATAGCCGTTTTCACGACGGCCATCTGGTACACATTTGGTGCACATCTGGTACAGATTAGGTGCAGATTTGGTCAAATCAGGTTCAGTGTGTCTCTTAGCAGCTATCAGCAGGGCTGCACTAACTGCTTATATGCCCGCTTTGTCATATTATCAGAGAGCATCATCGAATAAAACACTGAAATAAATTCATAAAATGAAGATATTTGCTGTAAAAGAAATTAGGTGCAGATTTGGTCAAATCGGGTGAATTCGCCGGATAGCCCGTCGTGAAAACGGCTAATAGGTACTTCTCCGTGTTGAACCGTAAGCGCTTGACTGATTGAGACTAAGTAGAGGGCGACCGTTAGGGCTGTTTCCTTCTCAAAGTGATGCCCCATTCGGGCTTCAGTCGGCGTTCGATTATAAAATATGCAATGTCTGACCTCATTCCGCGGCTCATCCTACGCGGATCTGTAAAAAAAACCTGTAAGAAACCAACGATATAAGGAAACTAAAATAAGTAACGTGGTGATCGTGGAGATAGTCTGAATTGTTTGTTTGGTAAGCTTACAGTGAAATTTTCTCGTTTTTCTACGTGATTTGCTTAAAGGGACCCTCCCACCTTAACATTAGTTTTGAGTTGAGATAGCCAAGTTTGCGGCCAGGCTCAGAAACCACCATTTATCCTGGTCGCAACCCCCGCAGCTTTATGGTGTTCAAGAAATTTCTTCCCTTTACTTGCAGGGTGGGACCAGCGTGGTCCCTATCTCTTAACCATTACGGGGATCTGATGACGTCATCAGGCTTTCGAACGTCCGTTAAATGTTTGATTAAAACGTTTTGTAGCACGCGGTGGTATATGCTGCTTTGCGCGCAACAAATGCCGCACTTTCAAATAAAGTCGCTAGGAACAGCGGAGATCCCAAAAAGTAAACAAGAGTAAAAGTCTAATATCTTGAAAACCGGTGAATATTTTTCGATGAAATTTGGTAGATATTCGTTTTTGCTCTTTCTGAACCGAGCGACATCACTTTCATGCCAATTCATTAACTTTTTTGAAGGTGGGAGGGTCCCTTTAACTGCGTGGCCCCTCAGTGACGGGATTTCAGCTCCACGGGGGGGGGGGGGTGGAGGGCCAGCGGCATCACTGGGGGGGGGGGGCGGCCCCCAGTTAACACTTAACATGTTAGAGGAGGCCCTGCGCTAGGGTCTAGCTTTATTGGGTGACCTATTTACATATACGATTACATACAAATACCTTCCTATACTAAATGCATCTGGCTCAGCAATATTTCCAGTCCAAATGTTTCGGCGGTCTGCAGGCTAGCGGACACTCTTTCATCACGGTCCGTACGATCCTGGTGTACTGAGAGCCGACGAACTCTGTCATGTTGGCGCGCTTTGTGGGAAACGGCCGGGTGAACGGGTACTTGTTGCACAGGTAGCTGTCGTGAGATATGACGTCACCGGTTCGCACCAGCACCGGCCACAGAATGGTCTTCAGCTGGCTCTGGTCCCATGATTTCTGCAACAACACCGGGTAAAGATGGTCAGATGTGCTTGGAAGATTTTTCTTAATAATGGGGTTGTATTTCAAAAAAAGCACCGAAGCCTTTGCCTAGCAACGAGTGTAATCCAGGAGTGACTGGGATTTCATGACGCGAGTGACTGGGGAAGGGGGGGCTGTCTCCATTTGGCCTTATTTTCAAACTTCAAACGGCTCCGAGGGTTAACCCTCGCCCTGGACATGCCCTGGCAGGGTATTTTTCATAACACGGCTTGGCAGGGGGGGGTCGATGCGACCCCCTCGCGATTGGCTCCTATGGCACCTAGAAACGCCAAATTTGGTAGGTAGGTGGGCCTCCTGGATTTCTCGCCCCTGTGCAAATTTGGTTGCTCTAGGTCAATATTTAGGGGGTTTTGCGGGGTATAAATGTAAAAATTTCGCTAAAAACAGGTCAAAAGTTTTTCGCTTATAACTTTCGATCTAAATAAGATAGAGCAAAAAAAAAAAGCACCAGTGAACTCAGCACGTCAAGGCGCGTCGAATGATATACTTTTAAGCTTGCTTAAGTGTACTTAAAGTTTTTCTTAATTATGAAGTAAACTTCAAATAATTAATTAAGTTCAAGTTAACCAAATTGCATCATATTGCATTTCATTCGATTCGGCTGATCACCAGGAACACAATGACACCTTTTTTTAACCCTCACCGGACCTATTGGTTTTCTACATACGCGCCGGCCGAGGGGGGGGGGGCGGGTACGACCCCCCCTCCCCGGTTCGCCCCTGGTGGAGCTAGCGCGTCGCGGAAAAAACGAGTGTGTGCGCCGTTACGAGACGCAGAGAATGGTACCCAATGTTAAGGTCCTAGGTCAACTAGTGACCTCTGAGGTCAGGTCAAGTGCCCAAGGTACGGGTCAGTTTTTGGTGAATAACTTCGCAAAAAAAAACGGCCGCAGAGCCGCGATTTTGGCAGCATTGTGTTCGCCTCGCTCAGGCGCGTGGAATAATATACTTTTTGTTCGGGTCAGGTCAACTTAGGGTGTTGACCTCAGGTCAAGGTCAGGTCAGCACCCCCAGGTCACGAAGTTGGTCGAAAGAGGTTATGTCGTATATCATTCGATTCGGCAGGTCTTCCTGAATCCATGGGTGGCTTTCCCGACTCGCTAGCTCAACTTGATCAAGAGTTATTGACGAAAAACTAATATGACCTTGATGACGTCATAAATGACGTCACGCAAGGTCAACATTGCAAAAGTGACGCATCTAAACTTGCAAGGAGTGCATCAAATCACGATTCTGTGTGCTTGAGATAGTTGGAGATCGTTCCCGGCGCCAGAATAGCAGTTTTCATTTTTCTCCATTGACTTCTACCTAATGGTGAGGTCACGAAAATGACCTGACCACATATGACCTTTAGGAAAAATCCGAGATATACAAGTTGTGAGACTCATAATGGATACTAGATCCTGCAAGTTTCATTTCCCTGTGACATCTCCTCTGGCAGTGAGGGCGTTGCGAAGTTGCGACATCTGAAGACCGTGCAGAGGTTCACTTATGACGTCATAGGTCATTGACCTGACCTGACCTAAAAATGCAGTTGGTGTCAAAAGATCCGGCTTGAATCAAAGGTCAAATATGCCAAGTTTCAGCTCTCTATCGCCAGCGTGTTCGGAGCTATCGCGAAAAAAAACCTATGTGGGGCGGCACCCCCCTCGGCCGGCGAGGGTTAAGCTCTAGCGTCATTATGTGCCAAGTTATTAGCAAAAACATCATTTGACCTCAGTTGACCTCATTTGACCTGACCCATGGATAAGTTCACCAAACAAAGAAGCACCAAGTGACCTGCTGTTAAGTACTGTGGTTTCAAAGCACAAAAGTGATAGAACGAAGCGGATATCTCCAGTATTTTCCGAATTTAGTATTTTCCCATAGGCTTAACATTACGACGTAATGACCTCTAACTGAACTCAGTTCAGTGACCTAAAAAAAAACGAACTATATGTTATACAACTCGGTGAACTTAGCATATCCTGAATGTTTGAAGGAAATCAGTCCAAAACTGTGAGTTGGACAGGTGCAAAAGAAAATTGAAATTTGACCATGACCTTGTACCTGTTTTTTGACCTGGTGACCTGACCCAAGGTCACCCGGACCTGAAATTTTCAGTTCATATGTAAAAAGGTTGCCCCATAGGCTGTGCCGTTTTTACGCTATCTTCGAAAAACCTTAGGGGGGGTCGCATCGACCCCCCCCCCCCTGCCAGGGCGAGGGTTAAGTTCCAAAACGAAGTCAAAAACCGAAACAACGAATCATGCAATAAAGAGACGAAAAGAGGAGAGGAATAATCCAAGTTTGCTAAGGCCCAAGTATGCCCTGCCTAATCTAAAAGTTCCGAACAGAACGGGCCTAACGGAGCCAGACGTGACGCGTCTGCTCGGGTCAAGAGCTCGGCCTAGAATGTGTGGGAATGCGCGGCTGACGCAGCGGCCGGGCCCCAGCGCAGGAGGTGAGCAGAAACGTCACAGCGCTGCAGCGCATCGGAGCGCGGATTGGTCAGCGGGGACCGCACTGCAGCACTGCAGGCTGCCGACACGCGGTCGCATCGTGCTAGGGGACAAAGTTCACTCCTGAGGCGCGCCCTGTGCCGCCCCCATCACCGGGGCGGGGTAGAGACGTCACAACAGGTTGTTGTTTTTGTTTTTCCTCCCGGTCACCGTCGAGGCGGTGACGGAGCCACGCGGCTCTTGTGGGCCGCGTAGCCGGCGGCCAAGGCCGCCACCACGTCGTCGCGCTGTATGTATACGTCTCGGGCCGTGCCTGTGATTACCCAGCGCACGGAGGCGCTGGGTAATCACGTGTGTCGAATTCCGTGCCGGCCGGCGACACACGTGGTTCTTGCATCATCAAGGGACGAGGCAACGAAAAACGCAGGGCACCACAAACTCACCCAGCTACCAGACCACAGTTCAGAATAGGACATAGCCTCGGCTCGACACATGGAATGGGGGCTAGTTACAGGGAATAAAGGAATAGTAAGACTATCCATCTATCGTATCGAAGAGGAACATTGTTATTGTTGTCGAGACAGGCAGGCAGACGCTATACGACGTCGTGACGTACCGCTTCATTTAATTTTCCTGTTTCGAGCATCTTCTGCCGGAGAGGGCGGTACTTGTCGTTGTAGCGGTTCCATCCGCCCCACATGCCGGCCAGAATCTCTGTTCCGTGCCACGGGTGATCCCGCATTACGTGGAACGTTTTGTTGGACTCGAGCCACTCAGTCACAGCGTCGCGTTCTCTCTGAAAAGAATACCGGAATCGGCAACATAAGTTACCGTTCGCCATAACACACCAAACAGGTATCAAATGTTTACACACGTCAGCTACGATATTTTTTTTTTTGACACTCGTATTAGCAAATCATCGCCTGTAAGATTTTTTTGTGAGCTTTTTTAGGCAAACCCATCGCTAGAGCTGTCCATCTACATCCATAGATTCGACCTTAATGCCAATGCATCTTTTGATCATTCGGTTTCATAACGTGATAAGTAGGTACGCTTTCATTGCTTCTCGATCATCAGCTTTTGGCTTAGGGCACAAAGGAGTGAAAGTTCATTCATATAAACGTCCCATCAGCAGTGCAGCCAGGACCCTGGCGACGGGGGTGGTGAGACTTGAGGAAGGGTAAGTTGAAAAAAAGAGTAGGTAGCCGTCAGCCGTAGACGACGCATTGTCTCACCTGCGTCAAAATGGAATCGAGGTCCCGCATCACGAACCGCTCGACGGACTCGTCCGCGATGACGGCAAATCGCCAAATGGACCCAACATGGCCACTGATGTCTCCGATTCCCGGCAGCTGGCGCACGTCACAGAAATCCACGTTCGGAAACCTAAAGGGGAAAAAATGGCAAGGAACAACAAAGAAGTAGGCTGCTATTTGGGTGACGAGCGAGCGAATGCATTTCCAAATAGTACTTGTGCACGTGCAAAATGAGGACTAAAACCCACTCGTGCGGGCCTTACCCATGGGCCCAAACGACTGGGCGCAATTGTTCCAACCGTTCTTTAGACCAAGAGATTACTAAAACATAGGACATAGTTTAATAATGTAAAAACGGCCTCTGCACGTGAGGACGTGCAGGCTAAAGGGGTAATTCTTACTCGCAAGTGACTTCGCAGGCTGTCTTATTCCATTCTGTGAAGTTAGCTTTGCCGTCGTGGAAGACGCGCATTGTCCAGCCGGGGTAGAACTCGAGGGAGCGCATCGCGTTCCGCTTGACTCCACTCAAGTAGGACTTGACGTCAGTCCCATAGAAGCTATAGGCAAGCACGTTCTGTCGCGCGCCGCGCCGGTCGGCGGTGGGCCCGCAGTTGGAGACGGTCGGCTCGGGAGGTTCGCCGTCCTCCGGCCTCCGCCACGGCCGGCAGGCGCACGGGCACGCCTGCGAGCAGTAGACGGCGCTGAGCGGCTCGCTGCCGGCACTGACCGTCTCTCTGCTGGAGCTGACCGTCTCCCTGCCGGCACTGAGCGGCTCGCTGCCGGCGCTGCCCAGTAGGCTGCGGAGCTGACTGTCGGCGGCACTGCGGATCTGACTGTAGTGCTGTCCCAGCGCGGCCGAACTCATGTGTCCGGATCCGGCCGAGTGCAGCAGCAGCATGGAGCCGGCCAGCAGCGCGACCAGCAGCACTGTGGTCCGGCCGCTGAGTCTCTGCGGCAGCCTCCCCACCGCCACCGGGATACAGAACCCACGACAGTCATGGCTCGAACTCTGCCGATGAAGAAATCTGCGTCAGGCTTCCGAGAGCATAATCACTTAGCAAAAATTCCATAATTCAAATGAATGAAAATAAATAGAGCTTAAATTTGTTCGAAAATGGCAGTTTATACTATTGTTTGAAAGGTGTAGTAGCTAGAAATAGCTCTTCGTTTGACAGAGACTGTGCCCTGAGAACGGCGTCGCACGCGTTAGCAAGGCTGAACCCAGGTTCGCTACGACAAAGGTTTTGCAGCGTATTCAGCCCTCGACTCTGCCTTTAGTTAAATGTTGTTTTTTTAACCAAAGGAAGAATATATATATATATATAACTGATCGGGCCGACGAAATTATTTGGAAACTCGGTTTGCAAAATTGACGGAGGCCCGAGTGTGGAGCACGAGGGCCGGAGTCGAGGGCCGAGGGGTGTAAAGTCAAACAACGTCCTGCCGGATCGGCGCGGCGACGCGCCGGCCGGCGCCGGCCGCCATTCGCCGCCTGACTGGGTAGACTGTGCCGTCGGTACTCGCCGACTGACCGACTGTGCCAGCGCCGGCCCGTTCAGTCTTTACACTGTGCTGCTTAGGCTTACAGCTGCTGCTACTGATCGATTCGCGTCAAAATATCTTTGAAGACTTAGAAATGTACAGGCAATCTTATGGTAAAAGAAATCGGAAATCGGCCGGAAACAGTTTGAGTCATGAGGATGTACGTACATACATAAACACTAATTGTGACGGAAACGTTTCCCGCGTCGGTCGATCCGCGCCTCAGCCGGCGACACCTTGACCCCGTTTCCATGGGCACCACTGATCCGGATCAGCAAATTTAAATCTTATTATATTTATTAAACTATTCGTTACATGATATAATTCCAAGTGGATTAGACTTATATAATCAGTCAATCCCTTATTTTTATTTTCATATATTGTCTAACTATACTGGATTAGCTAATCCATTTTTACTAATCCGGATCAGTGATGCCCATGGAAACGTGGTCCTTATCTCTTAGCAGGTCTCTGACGGCCATTGTTATGGCCAGATTAACTAGAGATTATCCATTTATGCTCCAAATGTATGCACTATGGTATAGTGAGATTTAAGAAAATCGTCCGCTAAGTTTTTTAGTTATGCGCGTGTAATCACAGAATAGTTCCTGACTAGAATGCCCATGGCAAATTTAACCACGCTGGACTTCCTTTAACCTTGAAAAAATTGACCTATGGTGGTGAAATTAGCACATACCTTATAAAGTTCCCCACCGCCCTCACTCACCCTCTAACTTTCGTCTTTTTAGCTCCCATAGCAGCTGAGAACTTAGGTGGGGGGGGGGGGGGAAGACATTCGCCCGGTGACATTATAGGTGGATACCTTCTTCCTCTGACCTCTTCCCGGGTATTAGTACTTGCAAGAGAGATTTCACGGTAGGTCGAATTTCGACAATTAAGTTCAGCTCTGGGCAGATATCCTTAGGCTTAGGTAGGCATAGATAAAAATATACGTCAATTCTCTCTTGACAACTCAGCTTTCTGAAGCGACTAGCGAGCTTAATGTATAAAAGTGCATGATATAATTACACAGATAGATTTGTTAACATACACAAATGAAGTTTTTCCTCCTATTTTCAGAATGAAAAGATCCCTGCCATTATGTTTGCTTTGCCATCCAAAGTCTCGGATCCCGACTCGCTGTGCCGGTCACCCACCTACTCGCTGTCTAGAAGGTAATTCTTATTTCAACAAAGCCGAAAATAGCTCGATGGCTTTGTTATCTACTCTCGGAATCCATGACACAATGACGGTCGAAGCTGCACATCAGAGATTAGGCACATAATTCACCTTTCATGGGTTGCAGCCAGGGCGGCCTCGGCAGCAGCCAGCTGTGCTGGTGCCATGGCTGTGCAGCCGTAAATGACCGGTGCGTTTGCAATATCGAAATGCAGGCTCATGTGCAGCAGACGGCGCCACCTTCTATCGACGTGTGACGTTAGTGGGTCGATATCGGAGCACTCCTAGTGTCTTGATACAGCCATTTGATTGGTGGAGGGCTGAGCCGCGCATGACTGGGTGGGGTGGGGGTGGGGGGGGGGGGGGGTCTCCAGAGCCACCTCCGTTTTTCTGCAATATCTTCAGAAGTGCTGAACGTTGTAACACGAAACTTCCGGTACCTTCGGGTTCATCGGTTTGACACCCGTGTCACCGATGTAAAAAAGTGATGAATGCCTCCGCCCGGGATTTTTTTTTTTATATATCTCGGTTGACTCTGCAATCGGTTGTTGAAATCTAACCTTTCAAGAATCCAGCAGGTGCAAAACACGATTCAACTTAAAAAAATTGTGGTGCTGGTTCCTGAGATTCAGTATCAACCTAAAGGTGATTGTTTCCCTTTAAACATGAGCCTTACAAAAATGAAACATTAGAAAACGAACTATAAAAAATGAAGCCTTTCCATAAGAACATTATCCCTTACGAACCTCCAGAATGTGAACCTTATACGATATGAGCTATCTCCGTCACAAGCTAAACCGTTCAGCACCTCAGCACCGTATCCCGACGGCATCCTTTGTAGTTTGTGGCGCAGTTGGTAAGTGCGCTCACATTTGGCGTGGAAGGTTCTCGGATCAAAGAGGACCTTTGGCAGCGTTCTCCTCGGCCGGCTCCCACCCAGGAGATGGCATGGGAGTGGTCGCTCGGCCGTGGGGATTAACGCTGTGCTAGCCAGCGCCCCCGATCGTAGGTAAGTAGGGGAGAGAACAAGTCATATTGCGCCACCTTAAGGATATCGGCCTATTGCGGCTAAAGTTGACCAGCTGTCATGCTAACGCTTTCCCCAGGCACCAACAAATTTACTAATCAATAAATAAAAAGAAATGCATTCAAATTTAAAAAGTGCAATATCGTACATTTAATATTCAGCTACACTTTAAGCGGTTTATGAGCATACATACGCATTTTTTGTGCATTCGATGTGGGAATTTCGGACGTAGGTGAATATTTATACCTACCAACTTGCGGCCCTGGTGGCGCAGTCGGTTAAGGGCGGCGTCGACCCGCGGTGCGGGCGCCCTCTCCTATAATTGGGACAAGAGCCCGTTGGAGAGAGGTCGGACTTAAAAAAAACTTTTCTACACTGAAAACAATTTTATCCGGAGCTGACGAATTTAGCCTTGCAGCGGGTGGAATATGCGTATTTAACTCGTCATGTCCAGATTCTAGCATAGAGGGTAAGCAGACTACCCCGCGTTTTTACTGAAAAATATGCACCGTACCTGCAGTCCGAAGATAACCCGCGCACCGACGGGGGTCTGCGCCAACTTAGAACCGACGGGGGGGGGGAGCGGATGACCGCCCCCCCCTTAGATCTCGAGAACGAAGCAAGATAGTGACAAGCGGTAAACGGCATGGGGTACGCACGGACAAGGTCTACAATTTTTACCAAGGTCATTTTCAGGTCAGGTCAAAGATGACGTCACATGGGTCAAAAAATTCAAAATGGGGGCGCTAGATATAGAGTTTTTTCTCGAATAACTTACGAATTGGTCAAGCTAGGAACAAACTAAGGGCACCATCGTGATCTTCTCGTCAATTCGCATCGAACCATTATATATGTTGACCTCGAAAGGTCAAGGTCAAAGGTTGAACTCAGGTCACGTGACCTCGCGCGAGGTCATCATGTATATTATTCGATGCGCCTTGACAAGCTGAACACAATGAGACCATCCGCGCGGCTGTATTTTGTTCCTGTAAGGAGTTATTGGCAAAAAAGCCTTTGGTCACCTTTGATGACGTCACATGACCTTACAGCTGCCCAACAGCAAAACAGGCCTCAAGGTAGTGAAGGTTGATCGTATATGAAGTCATGTGTGGTATATGGGGCCATTCTAACGCGTTTTAGCGAAAAAAAAAAACAGGGAGTTGATTTTTCCCTCATTGACTTATAATGGGAAGGTCGAGAAATTGACCTGACCTTAGGTCATCGATATCGAAATTCCGAGATAAACAAGTTGTAGCTACCAATGACCTTATAACATCCTCCGACTTTCAAAGGACTCCGTCAACTACTGTAGCTCTGACACGGTGACAAAGTTGCAACAAAGTGACTTGAGGTTGGGTTATTCAAAGTGACCTGGTGACCTGACCTTAAAAGTTAAGAGGTTCAAACTTGCACACCATGTGTAAAATTGATAAGAGAATAGTCATACCAAATTTCGCGGCGCTACGCGCCGTGGTTTGTTTTCCGCTATTCGCGAAAAACCTCAGGGGAGGGGGCGCATAACCGCCCCCCCCGTCGGTTCGCGTGATAAGGTAGGCTATTCATAGCCCCCTCCCGTTTTTCTGCATCAACTTCTTATCTAACTGCTATCTCGGTCCTCGGATTTTCAAAATTTTGAAAATTTTGCAAGTTATATTCAATTTTTCAAAAAGTTTTTGACTTTTCGAAAAAACGGAATATATATGATAGAACACATGCATATGACTTACCTACTGTAGCAAGTTTTAGCAAGATATCTTCAAAAATGGCCAAGTTATACGCATTATGGCAAAAATTTCACAATTTTAAATTTTCAAATCAATTTTTCAGTACGAATTTGACATCATACACCAATATAAATAGCACCATCGTTTTCCTGAGCTCAAACTGCATCCGATAGACATGTTTTTTGTTTAAAAAATTCGACTTTGCAATTTGACCTTTTTTGACCTGGAAGTGGCCTGACCTAAGCTAAATTCAACTCAAATGACCTTGAATGACATAAACGACATCGAATTCGAAATCTATGGCCTAAATGGACCATAAAACATGTGTCACGTGACCGACTTATTATATATAAGATTTCCGTGACCTGTGATGGCCTGACCCTGACCTGAAAATCAAAGTACAAGTTTGGTACCCTCAGGGTATCTAAAGCATCTGTTCACGAGTGTGTAAACCAAAAATCAGCCTGAGCTGACTTGCAAGACGGCAGCCAGAGCTCAAAATGTGAACTAAGCCAAACATCGATAATTATTGCTTTGACCTGACCTGTGACGTCATCAGTGACCTCGAGGTCAATGAACTTAGGTTTTGCTCGACAATTTTTTCCGGGGCTATCAGATGCGTATTTTTAGCACCCCCCCCCCCCTCAGTATAGTAGGGCGCGTTATACACAGACCCCAGTGGGGCGCGGGATATATTGGCATGCATTGGTTGGCGCGGTTTAAAGTGGGGCGAAAGTAATACTGTTAGAGTGCATCTTTAAAACCTGCAATATTCATCACGGGACGTTTGGCAACGCTTTTTCTTCCAAAACTAACAAGTGAAACCACTTTGATTCCCATATAGCTCACGAAAGTAGTGGCGACACATCTTCATGCTTTCGGGCGCGCGGTCTGCGTGACTGCTGGTGATATAGGGTCATGTCGAATCTTCTATGGGAGCGATTTGACCTTTCCCACCGATGTGAAACTTTCTCACCGATGTTTTCGGGGTGTGTGATTGCTATATTATAGATATCTTCTCGCAAATATGGACAAGCGTGGGAGTTTTTTGGGGGGGCTCTCGTGACTTGGTCGGAGAAGGGTATAGGCGTGGAGGGTAGCCCCTCTCTTAGGGGTTTGTGGGGCGCGTCTGCCACGTAGGCGTCAATGGTTACCTTTCGATGGAGGGGTCGCGAGCCACTGGTGCGCGAGTAGCCGTGAAGGGTTACTACTTTCCAGAGTGAATTGCGAAGTGTAATGCTCTAACTTGACTCCTGGGAGGGTGGTTAAAAATGGTTGCGGATAGGGGTACCCGCGAGGCACCGGTTTACTCGCCGGTTTTGGGTGATTTTTTCAGTGTAGCTTATCACGACACATAGATGTCCAAAATTAAAAAAAATGTGATGTGGTAAGATAAATGGAGAGTTTTGTTATGTATTTTACGTAAATATTAACACGCGAACTGCAGGGGGGGTGTTTTCAACCCCCCTCCCCTTCTGGTTTTTTTCGCTGTAACTCAAAAACCAGCAAAGCTACGACTTTGAAACTTTGTATAGCTGTTCATCAAACAATTTTACATCACCTCTGAAAAAATTAGTGTTAGGTCATGCAAGGTCAGGTCACCAGGTCACGATAAGTGACCTCACCTCATAAAAAGTTTGACGCTGTGCTACATCCACACCATTTGACTGAATGCTATGAAACTTTCAGAAACATATTAGGAGACCATAAGGAACATTTTGTATATTTCGAAATTTTTATTTCTGTGACCTTAGGTCAGGTCACTTTTTGGGGCCCGGCATGCAATTCAACGGTCACCAACGGTTTTTCTTCAATAACTTTTAATTGAATAGAGACAGAGACTCCGTTCGACGTTTATCGTGTTTGTCTCGTCAATGCGGATCGAATGATATGCAAAATGACCTATTTCGGTCAGGTCATGACCTTGACCTGAGGTCAACTTTTGAATTTGACCTTTCGAGGTCATATTATATACCATTCGATGCGCCTTGACGAGCTAAGAACGATGGTGCGTGAATTATTTCTCTATCTCTTTGGGAAGAAAAGTTATTGCAGAAAAAGCATTTCCGGAAAATTTGCAATATTGATTTGACATTACATGACCTCTATAGGCTGAACCGTTGACTTTAGGTTAAATCTGAGGACAGCTTAGCGAAAGAGCGTTTCAACAGCTATCGAATGCTTTTTTCGCAACTTTCTAGCTCATCTAGTTCCCGAGATAAAGCGGGAAATATGGAGGGATGTCGAGATCGCTAAAAAGTCGCAACATTTTGAGTTTGGTGACCTCTGCTGACCTCGTTTTTGACCTGACCCAAAAATGATCTTAATATTTCTTGTAGATCTCATCTCAACCTATCCAACGCCGTTTACCGCTTGTCGCTACGTTGCGCCGTTTTTGAGATCTCAGGGGGGGGGGGGTTGTTTTCAACCCACCCCCCCTGCAGTTCGTGTTCGGCTCAGACCCGCTGCAGTGCGCGTGTTAATAAATGAAACAATGATTGGGCCGTAAACGCTAATCAGCAGAGCTGTCTGTCTTTTTTAACTCTTGACATTCATCACGGACTGCGCTGTCCGGGCTCTTATAATGGGCCTTGGCCCATAACGGTCCTCTAGTGAAACCTGTTCCAAGCCCGCCGTAAAGCCTGTCCCGGTTCCGTGTCCTCGCAGTTAGACCTGGCCAAGGCCGTGTTCCCGCCGTGGGACGTGGCCCAGGCCCGCCGTGAGACCTGTCAACTCTCAGTCCCGTGTCCTCGCAGTGATTCTTGTCCCAGGCACATGTCCCCGCCGTGAGACCTGTTCCGGGCCTGTTCCTTGCCGTAAGACCTGTCCCAGACGTAAAAACGCTCTTGGAAACCTGGTCATATTTATCATTACACAATGCACAATTATAAATAAATAGGTACACTTCAAGGCAATACACATCAAGGGAATTTATTAGGTACACCATGGACTACCAATAGTTCTGTATAGCTTTTGGAACACGCTGCATGCCATTAACTATTGAGACCATCGTCGAGTAGTCTGCCTCAGCAGTATTTCCAGTCCATGTGTTTCGGCGGCCTGCAGGCCAGCGGGCACTCTTTTTTCACCGTTAGCGTGTATCTGGTGAACGTTGAGCCGACGAACTCTGTCATGTTGGCGCGCTTTGTGGGAAACGGCTGAGTGAACGGGTACTTGTTGCACAGGTAGCTGTCGTGGGACATGACGTCACGAGTTCGCACCATTTCCGGCCACAGAATGGTCTTCAGTAGGTGTTGGTCCCATGATTTCTGCAACAACACCGGATAACTATAGTCAGATGTATGTACTTTAAGACATGTCTTCTGAATGATGGACCTATATTTCAAAACGAACGGTAAACCCAGTCCTTCTCGACGTGCACAATTCGACGACGACTTTCCAGGAAGCGTACCAAGCATTATCGCCGGATAGGTGGGTAGTTAAGGCACTGTTTGTCGAAACAGGTCTACAAACGTAATGAAATGAGACGATGTGACTCACTTACCTTTCCATTGGGTTTAACTGTTTCGAGCATCTGCTGCCTGAGGATGCGGTACTTGTCGTTGTAGCGGTTCCACCCGCCCCACATGCCGGCCAGAATCTCTGTTCCGTGCCACGGGTGATCCCGCATTACGTGGAACGTTTTGTTGGACTCGAGCCACTCAGTCACAGCGTCGCGTTCTCTCTGAAAAGCAGTGCAGGAACCATGAATAGAATAGAATAGGAAATGTGACTATAAGTAAAAAAGTGACTTATAAATGAGTAGCTCGCAATAGCCCTTCCCTTCACCCACCAAAGCCTCTCTCATAATTAATACCGTAGAAGGCCAATGGTTGATAAGAGCCACCTGTCGGTGGGTGCTAACGACGCCTAAAACCCTAATTCGCAGGTTAGATGGGGGTTGGGTAAATTTTTATCTAGTGTACACTTTGTGGCTAATTTATAGAGCTCAACTTCCCCAGGTGGTCTAAATTTCACGAATCCGTTAGATTCCTTCTTTGACAGACAGACAGACAGACAGAGAAAACTTTATTCCAGATCATACTGGTCCATAAAAAACCCTTCACATCATAAAAACACACACACAAACACACATGCTAAGATTTCCTTTGATTGCATTTTGGCTGATAGTTTCCGTTCTAATGAAGATACAGCAAAATCAAATAACCATTAAAAGCATCAGCCTCTACAGCACATAAATGCGCATCATTTATCTGCTGTTATGTTACGCTTAATCTTTGTGTTCTGCTTGATTTTCTGTAACTTCTGTTCCGTACGTAACAAGCCCACGCGATTGTCCCCAGTCCGCTCGCCGGCGCTGCCTGTTGCTCGTCCGACCCTGTCGGCTGCTGCCGCCGTCGTTCTGCTGGGGGGGGGGCGCGTCCGGCCGGGCCCGCGACTTCTTTCGGCCGCCGGTGTGCTGCGGGCCGCCGACCGGCCGCTGCCGCCGTCTTGGACTGCTGCTGCTGCATTACCTACCGACTTGTACCCAACCAGACCAAGACCAGTCCTATCCTTACCAAATGTGCACACAACCAGACATGACCTACCTTGCCCTATTTTGACTAACTCACAGTGGTCACTACTCGGCTCCTACATGAACATACTAATGTTGCTCACCATGCACGGCATTGAACTCAATCCAGGCCCTACAGAGACGAAGCAGATCACGATTGCGCATATCAACATCAATAGCATTACCTCAGAAAACAAAATCGCTGAACTTGAACAATTCATTCAAACAAACGACATACAGATTCTAGCACTAACAGAGACAAAACTTGACAATTCGGTGGCTGACAGCCAGTATACACTAGATGACTTTCACCCGCCCATTACCAAACACAGAACGCGACATGGAGGAGGCGTAGCACTATATGTACACAAATCTTTTCCGGTTCAAAAATTGTCAAATATCGAGTCTGGGAATGAGGAATGGGTCTGGGCCAAAATAAAAACACACAAATTCACACTCATAGTCAGTAGTATCTATCTCCCACCTAACCTTCCCAGCGACCGACTACAAACCTTCTTAGACAATTTTTCTGAAACTATATGTAAGGCACAAACACATACACCGACGGCAATAATTTCATTGGGAGACTTTAACGCGGGAAACATTTATCTTGACCACCCTATCGCACAGCACAGTGGAACGACTCTATTTGACCAAAAACTCAAAGACACTGCGCAGACGTTAAACCTTTATCAAATTATTCAACAGGCTACCCGAATCACGACAAACGTAAACAACCTTAGAGACCTTATATTTACTAACAACAGTGAAATAATTCAACAAAGCGGAATACTATCATCATTTGCAAACCTAGATCATTTTCCAACATTTGTAACACTTGACTTTGCACGACCGACATTAGACAACGACGATTCTGTTGTAACTATTTGGGACTACCAAAACATGGACATACCACTTTTAACTAGGACACTGACTGACACTGACTGGGAAAGCATCATGAACAAGGACATAAATACCGCAACATCAGAATTTATTACTTCTTTACACAACGCGGCGGCAGCAGCAATTCCAAAAATTAAACTGAAACGCAAGAAAAATGACAAATACTGGATAACATCAGAGCTGAAAAGAACCATACGTAAAAGGGATAGACTGTTTAAACTAGCAAAGGAAACGCAAACTGAAAGTAACTGGACGAGATGGAGGTGTCAACGTAACTTAGTCACAGCAATAAACAGACGGTTAAAAAACGAGTACATGCAAAGAGAGGTGCAAAAGTTATTGAACGATAAACAAAACCTACACAAATATCATAAAACACTTGCCTCAATAACAGGGAGAAAACAAAATAACACAATTCCACCACTCCTCGGACGTGACGGCACAATACTAAACGACGAACAAGACAAGGCGACATTACTAAACGAACATTTTGCTCTACAATCCACACTTGACATATCAGACACACGACTTCCACCGACAACTACCGCAAACATGACTCCGATACCAGCCCTCGACAACATTACGACTGACGAACATGAAGTACTTCAAATACTTAACTCTCTAGACACCAACAAATCTACCGGACCAGACGGCCTTCCCGTAAAGTTCTTAAAACTAACAGCACTCCTAATTGCAAAACCACTGTCTCAACTATTTAACAAATCATTAGCAATAGGCATTTATCCAGACGAGCTAAAAAAGGCGAACATCAAACCAATTTTCAAAAATAAAGGTTCCCCTTCTGATCCAACTTGCTACCGGCCCATAAGCATATTATGGGCCATTTCTAAAATTTTCGAAAAAATTGTATACAGGCAAATTTACGGACACATTACAGAACATGACCTTTTGACAGATAAACAAAGTGGCTACCGCAAAAAACATGGCACCGAACTTCAACTTCATTACTTAACACACAACCTATATAAAGCTTTAGATACCGGACAAGACTTCACGGCAATATACCTAGACATCTCGAAATATTTTGACAAGATCTGGCATAAAGGATTACTATATAAATGCGAAAATGAATTCGGAATTTCAGGAACACTTCTCCACTGGCTAAAATCTTACCTTAGTAACAGATTACAACGGGTACAAATTCGAAATTCCTTTTCTCAACAACGCAAAATCAACGCAGGATGCCCCCAGGGATCGGTACTTGGACCTCTTCTAGCACTAATTTATCTAAACGATCTATCAAAACGCACATACAACGACATTTTATTATTCGCAGACGACACCTCTTTATATGCCTCCCACTCACCAGACACACTACAAAACACCCAAACGACCTTACAAAGAGACTTAGACGAAATTTACAAATACGGACAAGACTGGGCCATTTCATTCAATTCAGCAAAAACTAGTCAACAAACATTCTCACTTAAAAAGTCACACCAACAGCCGACACTTCATTTTGCTGACACTCCTATACCGAAAGATGAGACTCATAAACACCTTGGACTGACATTTTCCCACGATCTCCGATTCCACGAACATGTAAACAAAATTATAAGCAAAATAAACAAAAATACCAGCCCATTATATTCAATTGCAAAATATCTTCCTCGACATATCCTAGAACAAATTTACAAAACGTACATTTTACCTATTTTTGACTATTGTGACACTGTGTACGACGGACATATCACTTTAAGAGACATTTCTAGACTGGAGACGTTACAAAACAGAATAGCGAGACTGACGACTGGGACCCTGTTTAGAACACCATCTGACAAACTACGCACCGAATTAGGATGGGACAAATTGACAACCAGAAGACAAACACATCGATTGACACTCTATCACAAATTAAGCAGACCTGATAACCACAATATTCCAAATTATATCTCAACTATCATCCCACGTACACGACAATATGACATAAACATGACACTTCGAAACGCTAGACACCATACTTTAGCTCGAACCCGGACAACAACACATCAATGCTCCTTCTTTACTCTCACAGGAAAACAATGGAATACACTGCCAGAGACCACAAAGCAATTGCCCCTCTCAGACTTCAACAAGTGGATCAAAAAACATTATTCGGCATCCAAACCACCCACATATTATTCACACGGAAGCAAAAATCTAAACATTCTTCACACCAGACTAAGGACTAACATGACACAGTTAAATTCTCATTTATACAAAATTCAGAAAACTGACTCTCCAGCTTGTCTGTGCGGTTTCCCTCAAGAAAGCACAGCACACTTTATCTTATCATGCCCATTATACACACGACAAAGAGACGAAATGAACCAAAATATATCCCGAAGCCTACAATCCAACTTTATACTTCAACCTAAACCATCCAACTGGAAATCCTCCTGCACGGCTCAGGCCTCGACGGTGTCGGCGGTCGGGCGGTGGCACGCCACTTCCAAAAATTTATACAAGATACTCACAGATTCTCATGCGTTTTCTAACTTCATCCAGGGACCTGGCCGGGCGCGGCCTCCTGGCGGGGCGTGCGGGGGCGGTGGCTGCGGGCGGTGGCCGGCGACGGGGCGGCGGTCGGGCGAACTTCTGACTGAGCGTATGTTCGAAGTATGAGAGATGATGAATGTGTTCAGGCGTGTACGTATGTTGTATGTAAGTATGTTTGTATGTATGTGTATGTATGTATGTGTATGTATGTAAGTATGCATGTATGTGTGTCTGCGCTAGTATTATACATATTTCCGGTGCACTGCATCACGAGAGTTGGCACCGAGATTTAAGCCCTTTGGCTTTTGTGCCTCCTCTTATTTTACTATATATTATGCGTTTAATTTGTATTACCAATAAACAGTTGGAATGGAATGGAATCAGGCGCTTACACATGATTTTTTTTTTTAACGCGGGGGGGGGGGGGGCTGGCACGACCCTCAAACTGGGTTCCCCATGCCAAAGGGCCCCAGGCCCCAGCCGGAAAGGTTGCCCTATGAGGTTATATTTCGGCTGGCTTGAAGCTCGAGCTCTTGTCAATGCGCGGTTAGCCCTCACCGGGCCAAGAGGAGGTGATGCACCCCCCCCCCCAAGGTTTTTCGCAAATATAACGTAAAAACGCGGCGCGTAATTGAACATACCGTTTGCGACAACTTCTCGGCACCTTCCCTGAAAATTTCAGGTTTCTGTCATTTCAGGTCAGGTCGCCAGGTCACCAAAACCAATACAAGGTCAGGGTAAAATGGGACTATATTAGCGGCAACGGAATCGCTGACTTTAGGTATCGTTAAGACTTAAGAGCGTAAGAATCGTAAGACTTAGGGCCATACAAATTCAGACCAACTTGGGGCAGCCATTTGACACGTGTCTTAGGAGTTTTGTGTTCCATTGACCTCAGGTCAGGTCACAAGGTCAAAAAACCGGTACATGGTCAAAATAGCACTGACAATGCGCTATTTTGTCAATGAAATCTGGAGTTGTTCATCGATTTGATTCAAACTGGCAGGATATGCTACGTTCACCGAGTTGTAAAACCTACATCCAAGTTTTTCAAGTTCGGGTGACCCGAGGTCATCTCGAGGTCACGACAAATTTAAGAAAATTTGTCTGAATAGCTCCAATTGTAAAAATATGCTCCATTTTAACGTTTTTGTGTTGTTTTAGCTCCATTAACCCGCTCCCCGCTGGGGGTCCTGGATTTCCACGCCCTGCTGGGAGGGGGGGAGGTTTGAACATCCCCCTTCTAACTCGGCTCCTGGGCCACGTAGCGATACGGGAAAGGCGAGCTTCGAGAGAGCGTCAAAAATAAGGAAGAAATCACCTCAGTCACTTTTTTTTTGGTCAGGTCAAAGATCAGATCACCAGAGGTCATTGAAGGCCAAAATTCGCCGATTTGTAGGTCAGATTTCGACACTTTTCAACAAATCGACGCACAGCTCGGAAACTGATTAATAAAAGCGCATTTGATAGCCCTATTAACGCGCTTTCTGAATAGTTCTCTCAGATTTGACCTACCGTCAACGGTTTTGCCTACAGGGGGCAAAACTGCCAAAATAGCCGATTTTTTCTGAAACAGTTTTTCTGCTATAGCTTTTGACTAAAACCTTGCACCAACTTTCTGAGCTTTCTTTTGCCAGCATCGTATTCCACTCGTCAAGACGCGTCGAATGAACTATCATTTGACTTTGAAAGGTCATCTTGAAAATCTGACCTCAGGTCAAGGTCATGACCTGACCGGTAAGAGTCAAATTGCATATCAGTCGATCTGCATCGCCGAGTCAAACACCACTATGGTTTTTTCCATCGCTCTAGCATGCCTCTATCAAAAGTTACGCGAAAAACTGTCAGATGCCTTTGTTGACCTCAGGGGCATAAAAAGGGGTCACGGGTGCCATTTTCATGTTCAGTGTGTCACTGTCAAAAATACTAATACTAGTAATTCAGTGTCTATTGACTTCCGTCTAAAAGAGGCGACTTTCAATTTCTCCCATTGACTTATTACGGAGCGAGCGAAGCGAGCGTAGTCTTTCCCACATAACGGAAAAATATGAGTATGAGCGGCCCGGCCCGGCCCGGCCTGTAACGCTTTTGCGAGGCTTATATCTCAGCAACGAATTGACCGATTTACATGCGGTAATTTTTGTAGGGTAGCTTCATTCCTTCTACCAAGTATGGGACTACTCCCGATGCATGTGGGTGCCGCCTTATGCACATGCCTTCAGCCTTGTGCAAAACGAAGAGGTGTCAGTTTTGTAACAATTGCAATATCTCGGTAACTACTGGGCCGATTGCGCTAAGAGTTGGCATCTATGTAGGTAGGCACCCACTAGGCAGTGCATATCCATATGCCACAGTTGGGGTGCTGCTGCACTTGCGCACGTGCAGGGGTCGATTCCAGATCTCGAGAACGGCTGAACCGATTGCGCTGAAAGTTGATACAAGTTAGGGACCGGTTAGTAGTGTGCCGCGCAAAAGTCAGTTATGACCCATTTTGCACGTGCACACGTGCAGGGTGCCGCTTCCAGATCTCGAGAACGGCTAGGCCGATTACGCTCAAATTTGGCACATCGCTAGTGACCGGTTCGAAGGTTGCCGTGTACAAGTCAGTTGGAGGTACCCCCTCACAATTTCGCACGTGCAAGGTTCACCCTCTCGCTCGCTCCGTTTGTCGCCCTCCCCCCAGCAAATGTTCAAACACCCCCTCCCCCAGCAGGGCGCGGGTTAAATGAATTCGGTGTTTGTTTGCCGAAAAAACGCTTAGGTCAGGTCATCTGAGGTAAAATGAAAAAAATTGCTTTTGCTAATGCACACAATGAGGCTAGACCTTCAAAAATGGTGTCCTTGTGTTCCTTGCGATCAGCCGAGTCGAATGATATGCGATATGATGCAATTTGGTTAACTTGAACTTAATTAATTAATTGAAGTTCACTTAATAATGAGGAAAATTTAAAGTTCACTTAAACTTGTAACAAAGTATATCATTTGATGTGCACGGATGTGCTGAGTTCACTGGTGCTTTTGTTTTTGCTTTATCTTAATTACGTCAAATGTTATAAGCGAAAAACTTTTGACTTGTTTTAGAGAATTTTTTTTACAATTTTTTACCCCCTAAACCCCCATAAATATTGACCTAGATCTACCAAATTTACACAGTCGTGAAATCCTCTATGGACCCAACTACCCTGTAAATTTGGCGTTCCTAAGTGCCATAGAAGCCAATCACCAGGGGTAGGGGCGTACCACCCCCCTGGCCGTCCGCGTTATGAAAAAGGCCCTGGCCTGGCGAGGGTTAAAAGGACCCTTCCACCTTTAACAAAGTTAATGATTTGGCATACAGGTGATGTCCCGTAGTTCAGAAATATCGAAAATAAATATCTACCAAATTTCACCGAAAAATATTCACTGATTTTCAAGATATTAGAGTTTATCTTTTGCATACTTTTTGGGACCTCTGCTATTCCTTCGATCGACGTCGTTTGGAAGTAATAATTTGGCATCCTAAGACTGCGGCAAATGTTGCATGCAAATCAATATATCCCACCACCTTTTACCGATGGTTTTAGTACCAGTATAACGCCTTTTGGGGCGAGTAACGGAGCGAGCGAGAGGGTGAGCCTTGCACGTGCGAAATTTCGAGGGAGTACCTCCAACTGACTTGTGCGCGGCACCCTACTAACTGGTCTCTAGCGATGTGCCAAATTTGAGCACAATCGGCCCAGCCGTTCTCGAGATCTGGAAGCGGCACTCTGCACGTGCGCACGTGCAAAATGGGTCCCAACTGACTTGTGCACGGCACCCTACTAACTGGTCCCTAACCGTGTACCAAATTTGAGCGCCATCGGTCCAGCCGTTCTCGAGATCTGGAAACGACCCCTGCACGTGCGCACGTGCAGCAGCACCCCAACTCTGGCACATGGATATGCAGTGCCTAGTGGGTGCCTACCTACATGCCAACTTTCAGCGCAATCGGCCAAGTAGCTACCGAGATATTGCAACAATTACAAAAGTGACACCTCTTCGTTTTGCACGTGGCACGTGCATAAGGGGTCACCCACATGCATCGGGAATAGTCCAATACTTGGTAGAAGGAATGAAGCTACCCTACAAAAATTACCGCATGTAAATCGGTCAAGTGGTTGCTGAGATATAAGCCTCGCAAAAGCGTCCGCACGGCCGGCCGGCCGGCCGGCCGCTCATACTCAGAAATTTCCGTTATTCTACGTAAGACTCCGCTCGCTTCGCTCGCTCCGTAATAAGATTTAAAGATCGTTAGATCTCCGCTGACGTCACAAACTCTAAGGGAGCATTCAAATACATTATCCTCTTAGAATCTGAAAACTGCAGGTTTGAAATTTAATATCTCCGAATTAAAGCAGTTCTTGATGTTTTTAGTGCCCAAGCCGGTAATTGAAAGCCAGGGACCCCAATTTGGCTATCTCAACTCAAAACCATTGTTAAGGTGGGATGGTCACTTTAAACAGCTGGTTTCATTTTCAAACCATTTAGGTATCAGGGCATCGCATGGAGTTATATGGGCCTGCTTGGGCCGGAGATGGTCCTGCCAGTCTTTTCAATTATTATTTCAGCTTATTTTTAGACGGTTTTCGGCGATCTTAGGATTAGGGACCCATTTGAGGACCATTTGAGACGGGGTCCCCAATTCGAATGGGGGTGGGGGCACAGGCCCATGTGCCCAACCTTTGTGTGCGCCCTTGATGCACATCGATTGATACATGGCATTTCTCATGCGTTCTCTACATATCTTTGAAACACAAACTTTCAACTTTGTGTGAACGATTAAGTTGAAAACGAAGGACGTTTCATCGCGAAGACCAGCCGGCGGCTGCCTTTTCTGTGTTCTGGAGTAGGTGACTAAAGGAGTACTTTGTCTCACCTGCGTCAAAATGGAATCGAGGTCCCGTATCAGGAACCGCTCGACGGACTCGTCGGCGATGACGGCGAACCGCCAAACCGATCCCACCTGGCTGCTGATGTCTCCGATACCGGGCAGCTGGCGCACGTCACAGAGATCCACACTCGGAAACCTATAGGTAGGGGAAAATGAACGTAATGCACATGCCATTCTTGTTAACAGCTCCAGTTTGTGGTCTTTTAGGGGTGACGATAGAAACTATATTAATATAATAAATACATGATATATAATAAACAATAGATAATCAAACCGATCTTAAAAGCGACTTATCTGAAGCAATTCCAGCCGTTATCTAGCGTTAGACGGCGTACCAGCTTTGAGGCTTGAGCGCAATTGGCTGCATGCCGAGTTGTGACATGGAGGCGGCCTCTGCACGTGCTCAAGTGGAGGCAGCAGAAGCATCTCTTACTGGCAAGTGACTTCGCAGGCTGTCTTATTCCATTCTGTGAAGTTAGCTTTGCCATCGTGGAAGACGCGCATTGTCCAGCCGGGATAGAACTCGAGGGAGCGCATCGCGTTCCGCTTGACTCCACTCAGGTAGGACTTGACGTCAGTCCCATAGAAGCTGTAGGCGAGCACGTTCTGTCGCGCGCCGCGCCGGTCGGCGGTGGGCCCGCAGTTGGAGACGGTCGGCTCGGGAGGTTCGCCGTCCTCCGGCCTCCGCCACGGCCGGCAGGCGCACGGGCACGCCTGCGAGCAGTAGACGGAGCTGAGGGGCTCGCTGCCGGCACTGAGCGGCTCGCTGCCGGCGCTGAGCGGCTCGCTGCCGGCACTGACCGTCTCTCTGCTGGAGCTGACCGTCTCCCTGCCGGCACTGAGCGGCTCGCTGCCGGCACTGCCCAGCAGGCTGCGGAGCTGACTGTGGGCGGCACTGCGGATCTGACTGTAGTGCTGCCCCAGCGCGGCTGGACTCATGTGTCCGGATCCGGCCGAGTGCAGCAGCAGCATGGAGCCGGCCAGCAGCGCGACCAGCAGCACTGTGGTCCGGCCGCTGAGTCTCTGCGGCAGCCTCCCCACCGCCACCGGGATACGGAACCCACGACGGTCATGGCTCGAACTCTGCCGATGAAGAAATCTGTGTCAGGCTTCCGATGCATATAAAAATTTCTTTGATGAACAGTGATAGCCCCTTTTTGACGCCTCTTTGTGACTTCACAGTACCACAAATCAGTAGTTGCAGACCTACGGCCATGGAAACTTTCGCGTCGTCGTCCATTCGCATCCATCTATTAGACGACAGGATGCATGGACATCCTGTCGTCTAATAGATGGATCGCTGAAAAGTAGATATGTATAATGCGCACATATGCAGTTATTTAACCCTCGCCGGGCCGGGGGGTTGAGACACCCCCCCCCCCTCCATAAGGGTTTTCGCGAATAACGTAAAAACGGCGGCGCGTGCGCCGCTGAATTTTGCTAACCTCTGCATTACCTTGCACCATTTCAGTTCTCTGTCATTTCAGGCCAGGTCACCAGGTCACTAAAACCGGTACAATGTCAAGGTTAAATTCGACTATTTTAGCGGCAACGGAATCGATGAGTTAATCGTTCATATACTTGCCTAAGCTTAACCCGCGCCGGGCCGTGGGGGGTGTTTGAACACCCCCCCCCCCTGCGGTTTTTCGCAGATATCTCAAAAACGGCGGCGCACCTGTTTGTGCATCTTTTCCGCACATGTTGTGAAAATTTCAGACCCAGGTCACCTTAGGTCAGGTCACCAGGTCACGCCAAGTGACCTCACCTCAGAAAAAATAAGAATGCTCGTCATAGCTATACCGATTGATCGATTGCCTTGAAACTTTCAGCGATTGATTAGAGCAACATTATCTATAAAATGTATATCTCGGAATTTTGATATCGGTGACCTAAGGTCAGGTCAATTTTGCGACCTCTCCATTATAAGTCAATGGGAGAAAATTGAAAAGCGTCTGTTTTGCACGAACGTTATTCTAGACACTCTCAAACATCGAGATGTAGGTAAAATGGACTCACTGAACCGGAAAATGGCAACTGTGACCCCTCGTTATGTCCCCGAGGTCATCTCAGGTCACGAACAGAATCTAACAGTTTTTCGCTAATAACTTCTGATAGAGACGTGCTAGAGCGCGGAAAACGCCTTAGATGTGTTCGGCTCGACGTTGCGGATCGACTGATATGCAACATGACCTTTTCCGGTCAGGTCATGACCTTGACCTGAGGTCAAATTTTCAAGTTGACCTTTCAAGGTCAAATGATAGTTCATTCGACGCGTCTCGACGAGAGGAACACGATGGTGGCAAAAGTAATGTCATGACTCTTTTGAGTCAAAAGTTATTGCCGAAAAAACGTTTTTCGTAAAAACGGCTATTTTTGGAGTTTTTGCCCCCTGGAGGCTAAACCGTTGACCTGAGGTCAAATCTGAGAACATTACTCAGAAAGGTCTGTAAAAGGGCTATCGAATGCGCTTTTCCGCGGCGCTGTAGCTCTATCGGTTCCCGAGATAGCCGTTGGCAGTTTCCAAAATGTTGAAATAGTGGACATTTGACCTTTGGTGACCTCTGGTGACCTGACCTTTGACCTGACCCAAAAAATGACCGGAAAGTTTTCGTCCTTATTTTGGACGTTCTTTCGATTGCCGCTTACCGTGTGTCGCTACGTGGCCCAGGAGCCGAGTTAGAAGGGGGTGTTCAGACACCCCCCCCGGCCCGGCGCGGAATCTCAGAGCACCGGCCCGGCGCGGGTTAACTATATATCATAACTATATTTCCCTAAACTTGACCTGCATTTTGTCAAGATTTATCCCAAATCACTAAAGGTGTATCCTCATAACAATTTGAGTTGAACATCTTGCATTAAAGCAATTCCGAATAGCTTCGTAGCTTTGTTTCGGTGAGAGGTAAAAAAGGAAGTGATCTAACTGTGGGCTATCCTTACCATTTTCAACTCACTGCCGAGGGAGCCCACCACGTAATGTGGTCCTGGAGGTAGGTATGTACAGCCCACTGCTAAAATAATGTGCGGTTTTGCCAATCTCAGCAGATGGCTTTGACTGCCGATGTTCAAATACGGAGTGATCCAGGAGTAGATAGCAAAAGATAAACTTGCAGCTGCAAGGATGACGAGCATGTAAGCTACATTCCAAGTTTCATTATACATTGTGTTGCCATTGTAGTCTGGCAAATCGTTCCTAAGCAGAAGCAAAGTATAACCACGACTGAAACCACACATTGCTTCTGCGAGGGACTGTATGTACCTACATACCATTTGCTCCGTCAACCAAGGCCACCTTTCGTTATCGATTGCACCAAGTCGCGGCACCTGCACCGTCCACTCGCCACCCACCGCTCCACTACCCACACTCACCGCTCCACTGACACTCACCGCTCCACTGACACTCACCGCTCCACTGACACTCACCGCTCCACTGACACTCACCGTTCCACTGACACTCACCGCTCCACTGACACTCACCGTTCCACTGACACTCACCGCTCCACTGACACTCACCGTTCCACCACCCACACTCACCGTTCCACCGCCCATAGTGGCCGTTCCACCGCTCACACTCACCGTTTCACTGACACTCACCGTTTCACCACCCACAGCAGTCGTTCCAGCACTGACACCGTTCCACCGCCCACACTCACCGTTCCACTGACACCCACCGTTCCACCGCCCATAGTGGCCGTTCCACTGCTCACGCTCACCGTTCCACCACCCACAGCAGTCGTTCCAGCACTGACACCGTTCCACCGCCCACAATGGCCGTTCCCCCACACATGCCGACCTCTCCGTGACACATGCCAGCTGTGTATACCACACAAGGCAGCGTTCTCCTACCTTCTCTGAGTCAGCAGTCTCCGCGGCGGTCAGCTGCACGCGCTCCATGGCGCACCCGAGGTAAAACTGACGCCAGTGACGCGTCGCGAGCCGAACGGTCACGTGCACCCGGCTGTGACCGTTTATCAGCCCAGTTATCATCCAAAAGCTGACAGCGGCGTATTGAGAGGTCCGATTTTGGAGCGCTCATATAACTGTGCCATGTGGCAAGCTGAAGAGTTGTGGAAAAGGCTTAGCAAGGGGATGAAAAGAGGTTTACTGTTGATTCTCGCCGCGGCTATATTAGACGATCGCTCAGAACGATTCGAGATACCTACTGAGATCGAGACACCTGCTCTGTCATATGCCTTGAAAATATATACCCCATAGGCTATGTTTATTACGAGCGAGCGAGCGCAGCGAGCGAAGTGAGTCTTTTCAATATAACGGAAAAATCTCAGTATGAGCGGCCCGGCCCGGCCCGGCCCGGCCCGGCCTGTAACGCTTTTGAGAGGCTTATATCTCAGCAACCGCTGGACCGATTGGCCTGCGGTCTTTTTTGTTGGGTAGCCCCATCCCTTCTACCCCGTAATTGACTACATTTGATACATCTCAGTGACCGTCGTGGCGCGTGCCACGTGAAAAGTCAAGGGTGTTCAAGCTGTTTTGCAAAATTAGTGATTTTGGGAGGCTCATATCTCAGCAGCCGCTTGGGCGATTGGCTTGCGGTAATTTTTGTAGGGTAGCAGCATCCCTTCTACCAAAAATAGGATACTCTCGATGCATGTGGGTCACCCCCAGTGCACGTGCAAAATACAACAATAAGAGGTGTCAAATTTGTTCCCATTTTAATAACTCGGTAATTACTGGGGCGATTTCGCTGAAACTTGGCATACAGGTAGGCACCCACCAGACAATGCATTCCCATGTGTTGCGGTTAAGGTGCTACTGCACGTGCGCACGTGCAGGGGCCAGATCTCGAGAACGGCTGGGCCGATTGCGCTCAAATTTGGTACACGGTTGGGGACCAGTTAGTAGGGTGCCGTCCAAAAGTCAGTTTGGACCCCGTTTGCACGTGCGCACGTGCAGAATGCCGCTTCCAGATCTCAGGAACGGCTGGGCCGATTGCGTTCAAATTTGGTACACCGCTAGCGACCGGTTAGAAGGGTGCTTTGCGCAAGCCCGTTGGAAGTACCCTCTCGCCCTTCCGCACGTGCAGGGCTCACTATCTCGCTCGCTCGTTCTTCGCCCAAAAGGCGTTTTACTGGTTTAGAAATGTCTTTTTTTCAAAGAATTTTTGCGGGACAAACTGTTTGTTTATAGGTACAGGTCTCGTGGGTTTTAGCGGTAGGTTTTGCACCTAGAAAATTTAGGGCACTTCAGGCTATATCTTCGTCGTCTTAAGCCTTTAGTGTTGAGATGCGATCGACTTGTTGGCTCATAAGCCGGCCATGATCGTGTAAAATGGCTTCATCGTAGATCGATTAGTTTCTGAGACATAATCGGAAATGCAAAATGCAGAACCTACCGCTTAACCCGCGCCCTGATGGGGGCATTTTGCCCCCCCCCCCTGTGGTTTTTCTTAAATAGCGTAAAAACGGCAGCGCGCAGCGCCGCCAAATTTTGGTTACCTTACCGGGCATCAATTTGACACCTTCACACAAAATTTCAAGTCACAGGTCACCTCAGATCAGGAGTTATTGAGGTCAAACTGAGGTCATGTTCGAGTAAAAATGAGCAAAAAACATGACATCTTGAAACGCTCACCAATTCTACAGTTAGCAAGCAATTTTAAAGTTTTTTATGTGGTTGTGTAGAAAAAAACGGCACTACAAAACTGCTATCTTGGATTTTCGAAATTTTGGGATTTTCACCCCAAAAAATAAAAAAATGTTTTTTTTTTAGAAAAAACTCAAAAAAATTCCAAACAATTTTCGAATTTCGAAAAAATCGGAATAGGTACATGTCATAGTCCCTGCGCTCTTCGATATACATACCAAATTTTAGATCGATACCTCTTTTTTTGGCCAAGTTATAGCGAAAAAACTGCTAAAAATTGATGACGTAATTTTTTTGAACTCAATTTTTAGCAATTCTAGACCTCGTAGCGCAAAACAAAGACCACCATTGAACTCCCCGTGACGAGCTGCATCGAATCGGTACCCATTTTATGCAAAAATATCAACTTTGAAATTTGACCTAATTTAACCTGACCTTGACCTGACCTTGACCTGACCTTGACCAAAACGTGACCTAAGCTGGCCCAAAAGCCTGCTTGACCCACATTATCGCATTTGTCATGTAAAATGGACCATAAAACATGTATCACACGACACTTTCATATTATGACCCCCCAGTGACCTGACCTCTGTGACCTGACCTGGTATCAGTGACCTCAAATAGCAAAATATTTGTTTGAAGAACATTTTCCCATCGATGATTTTCAATAAAATGCATTTTACTCGATTTTACAACGCATTTCTTGAAATGCCTGTAAACGGTGAAAATTCGACCTTTGACCTGACCTGTGACGTCATCGGTTTGACCGAGGTCAATGAAATTGGGTCACAAGGTAGTTCCCCGTTGGGGCTATCCAACGCCGTTTACCGCTTGTCGCTATGTTGCGTGGTTCTCGAGATCTTAGGGGGGGGGGCAAAATGCCCCCCCCCATCAGACCGCGTTGCTCGGCAGACCCCATCAGGGCGCGGGTTAATCTCGCGAGAGCCGTACCTGTGCCATGGCAGCCCGTCTCTCCCTTCGTACCGGATATGAAGCCGCCGATAAATGATCCTTGGGTAGTTACTTATGAAATTAAAATGCAAAATAATTGAGCACAAGTAATGTGCATAGGAACTGGTCTAAAACATTTATGTGGACCATGTTGGGGGCTGCATTTATTGTTAGGGATCGGCGGCGAACCAGGTGCATGTGTCTGTCGAGCTGCAAAAATCGTCGAGGCGGCGGCGGCGGACCAGGTGTATTATGACGAGTTGCAAAGATAACAAGGCATCGGCGGCGGGGCCCACTCTTTTGGCCGACTTTTGGGCCATTGACCTGATCTGGAAGGTCAACAAATGACCTAGGACCTTAAAATTGGGTATTATCAGCTTCCTCTTGTCACGGGCAACACGCTTGTTTTTCCGCAAAACTGTAGCTTAATCAGGGGTCAAACGGCAAGGGGAGTCTGACGGACCCCCCCCCCCCCCCGCTATTATACGTTCGCGGCTGGCAAAGCACCATTATGGGCGAGGGTTAAAACTTGAAAATATTGGATATGCCTAACACCACATTGGACTCTCCTCGCAGACGCAGTAGTCATGGTCATGGCCATGGGTCATCAGTTATACGTGACGGACAGTTACCCCATGTTGAGCCTATGGCGATTTCGAAAAATTATTTTCAAATCAATTTTGCCAAAAATTTCCACGTTAGATTTTGAAAAAGTTCCAATATGTTGTGCACCGGGGTGTCGGCTACCACGTGGTATGGGTCAGATATGGGGCGATTGAAAAGCACGTGCCACGTGCAAACGTTTTGGGGTAACCTCCGGGAAAATCCGACATTGGCCAACTGGGGGTCCTATGGCGTGGAAACCACTCCACCTAGCGACACCAAATCAACGCAGCCGGTGAGCAGAGGAGTCCAGCTTGTCGCACTAGTGGTCACGTGGCGCACGTGCTATTGCACGTGCCGTGGCACGGGGTCAATTTTGGTGCTTAAATATACTAGCATTGTGAAATGCAAGGAATGGGGAAAATAGCCGTCAGGCCGTCAGATTTTATGATAGGGTCGATCTGAAAAAGGGTGTAGGCACAGAATGAAGGGGCCTAAAAAACTGCTATCTCGGATTTTTTGTAAAATGAAAAATTCAAAATTCTGCGGAAATTATATATTCGAAAGGTGAAATTTCCCTAAATTTTCCCGTTTTTCGAGTTTACCCGTCCACTGTTCAGGGACGGTGACACCGGCCGGGGTCATCTTTTATATGCTGATGGCCACGTCGATGGGTCATCACGTGGCGTGAACGGTGAAGCTATCAAAGGTCCGGCACGTGCCACGTGGCCACGTGTTTGAGTCGCGTACCTCCCAGATTATCGTGTGTTTGCCGATTTGTGGCCTTATAGCACGAAAACAGCACAAGCCAGGAACACTGAAATGGTGCAATCAGTGAGGGGACAAGTCCTGCTTGCACCACCGGTGGTCACGTGGCACACGTGCAAATCTGGGCACCTCCGTTGCGGACATATTTTATAGTGAAATATTGAAATGTACATAACTTTTTCAGTTTAAGTCCGATTGGGCTAGAATTTGGTGGGTGGATGAATTGTTAAGCGACATGAACGAATGCGCCATGTTTGTTGCAGTGCGCCACGTTTGTCTCAAAGCGCCATTTTTGCCGCAAAGCGCAGAATGTGCGTAACTTTGTCGAACATTGGACGATTAGGATGCGCTGATGGAGGGTTGGTTGCTTAAACAGCAGATATGAATGCACCACACTTGCCGCAAGGCGCCATATTTGTCTTAATGCGTCAGTGTTTGCGTTTTGCGGACGGCGTGCGTTTTTTTTGCGGCGGTGTTTGCGTTTTTTGTGTTTGCGTTTGGCGGCGGGCGGCCGTTTTTGCGTTTTTTTGTGGTGTTTGCGTTTCGCGGCGGGCGGCCGTTTTTTGCGGCGGTTTGCGGTTGGCGGCGGGCGGGCGTGCGGTGCGGGCGTTTTTTCGGCGGTATTTGCGTTTTTTTTGCGGTTTTTGTGTTTGGCGGCGGGCGGGCGGGCGATGCGGGTGTTTTGCGGTGTTTGCGTTTGGCGGCGGGCGGCCGTTTTAGCGGCGGTTTGCGGTGGGCGGCCGTTTTTTGCGGCGTTTTGCGGTTTGCGGCGAGCGGTCATTTTTTGCGGCGTTTTGCGGTTTGCGGCGGGCGGCCGTTTTTTGCAGCGTTTTTTTTGTGGTTTGCGGCGGGCGGCCGTTTTTTACGGCGCTTTGCGGTTGCCGGCGGCCGG